CTTCAGGAGCAGGGCAGGCAGAGCTGGCGTACAGTCTTTAGCGACATCAGCAGTCAGTGTCTGCTGTGTCATAACGTGTGTGTGTGGGGGGGGGGAAATCACAGCCTTCCTGCCAAGCCAATGACTGTGCGAGCTCCCAAGGAGCCTCTTGGGGTAGAAGTGGTATCTGACCTCTCACCATAGCCTGACATAGCCTAGCCCAGATGAATTCAGCAAGCGCAGTTCACTGCAGGGAGACATAACCACAAGCCCACACTACGGAAGACACAATTTCTCACTTGGCCGGAGGTACCTTTCCTATTTTTAGCTACCATGACGAGCCATCGACAGTTAAGTTACTCCTCCATGAACATGTCTTTTTAAAACCATCTAGACCAGTAGTCCCCGGCCTTTTAGAGCCTACAAGCACCTCTGGAATCCTGACATGGAACGGTGGGTGCAGCCACAAAATGGCTGCTGCGGAAGGCAGAGCCAGCCACAAAATGATTGCCACAGCTTCAACTTCAGCCACAGTCCTTGTCAGGGCTTTTTGTGTGGAAAAAGCCCAGCAGGAGCTCATTAGCATCATAGGCCACACCCAACAGCAGAAACGTATTAGCATGTTAGGCCACACCCCTGACAGCACAGCTCATTGTCTATTAGGCCACACCCCCATGTTACCAGAAGTGTGCTCATCCAGCCACACCCACCTTTCCCTTCTTATTCTGTTTGCCTTGTTTGTTGTCAAAACCCAGTGCTTTTTTTTGTAGCAGGGACTCCTTTGCATGTTAGGCCACACACCCCTAATGTAGCCAATCCTAATGAGTTGCTGCTGTTGGGTGTGGCCTGTTATGCTAATGAGTTCCTGCTGGGTGTGGCCAACTTGGAAGCCAGCCGGAACTCCATTCCTGTGCGTTCCTGCCCAAAAATAGCTCTGGTCCTTGTGCTGTGGAGGCAGCTGCTGCTAAAGCAACATTTCATAGAATCCTAGAATCACAGAGCTGGAAGGGGCCATACAGGCCATCTAGTCCAACCCCCTGCTCAGTGCAGGAGCAGCCTAGAGCACAGGTGTCAAACTCGTTACAACGACCAGATCTGACATAAATGTCACTTTGTCGGGACGAGCCATGTGGCCATAAAACGTGATGCCAGGTACCAGAGATAGAAACTGTATAAAGGACAGGGGCTGGTAAGGTCGGAGTTGGTGTATCCTCACTGCGAGGCCCCCTGGGCTGGGAGGGGGTTGCAAAGGAAAGTCCACACAGGCAGACTGGAGAGGCAGCAGTGCGGCGCTGGGCCAATGCTCCCACATTGCTGCAGATGAGGTTGTTCTGCCATGCTGAAGTCACAACGGAGTGGCTCCGTCCACTCCTCCCAGCACTTCGCCACTTGCATCAGTTGCTCGCGGGCCGCAGAAGAGCCTTGGACGGGCTAGATCCGGCCCCCGGGCCTTATGTTTGACACCCCTGGCCTAGAGTATCCCTGACAAGTGTTTGTCCAGATGCTGCATTGTAAAAGACTGCACAGCCAATCAAATCTCCTATAACCAATAAGAAGCCTTTCTGGGCAAAAGCCCTACCTGGCCCTGCCCACTTCCTAATAACACTTGGTGGGCATCAGAAAAAGCGTCAGCAGGCACTATGGTGCCCATGGGGACCAGGTTGGAAAACCATGATCTTGACTAGCTGTAGACACAGTATCTTGAGGGGGGGGGGACCCAACCACCACTTTGGATATGAGGAAGTAGCTACATTGGTCCATAGTAAAATACAGCCATGTACTGTATTTTATTAAGACCAACCAAAACAGCACAATACAGTGTAGAAGCTTTGGGGGGGACTGTTCAAAGGTAATTTTTAATACCCAGCTTGCTGAAAAACTCTGCAGGACTTGAAAACTGGCACAGTGTTTTGCATTACTTTGACTGGTCTTAATAAAAAGCATTACAAAGCTTGTGTTTGTTCAGTTCAGAGATGTGCAACGTGCTTTTAAGGAACCAGGGACATAACACAAGTATTGGCTTGGATCCGCCAGCACATCTCTGCACATGAAAGGGTTTTCATGCATTGAGAATGGTTTTCTCGCAAACATATGCACGCACACACACACACCCTGCTGCTGCCCAAAATGTCCCCCTGAAATGCTGCTTCTTAGGGTCAGAGGACCCCCTAGGAGCAGCATGGGGGGGACCTTTTGGGGCTGAAGTGAGAGGGAGAAGAAGAAAGAAGGAAAGGTTTTTACATCCCACTATTCTCTACTCTAAGGAGCCTCAAAGCGGCTTACAACTGCATTCCCTTCCCCTCCCCACAACAGGCACCTTGTGAGGTGGGTGGGGCTAAGAGAGTTCTGAGAGAACTGTGACTGACCCAAGGTCACCCAGCAAGTTTCATGCGGAGGAGGAGTGGGGAATCAAACCCCGTTCTCCAGATTAGAGCCCGCTGTTAGTAACCACTATACCACTCTGACTGGGAGAGGGGAAAAGTCACGATTTACAAATGGAAAACCTTCCAAATGTGGCAAAGCTTTGATGGATTTAAGCCACTGACTCCCTCTCCACACCAGGGAGTCTGTAGACAGCTACACTCCTGCAGAGTTTCAAAAGGAGACTCAAGAAAAAGCCGCAGAGTTAGAATTCATATGAAGATTTGACACTGGCAAATTTGGATTTAGGAGTCGTTAGTCCGCTAAAGAAAGTAATTGTCCCTTCTTACAGGTTGATGTGCACCACTCTTCTTATTTTGCCGATACAGCAACAGTATGGAAGGCTACATACCCACTCTGATGGATTATTTATTCTGGATTTGTTCTCTCACATACTTTGCAAGATAGGGTCACATACCTATTGCTCAGAACACTGGGTCTTCTGGCCTTTCTTTGTAACACACAAAAGAAGGGCGGGGAGAGTTAATTCTTTGTGTGTATACATACTTCTGCCCGCTACATGAGACACTACACATATATGAGCCAGTTTGGTGTAGTGGTTAAGTGTGCGGACTCTAATCTGGGAGAACCGGGTTTGATACCTCACTCCCTACACTTGCACCTGGCTGGATGAACTTGGGCAAGCCATAGTTCTGGCACAGCTGTTCTGGAAAAAGAGCAGTTTCTGTCAGAGCTCTCTCAGCCCCACCTACCTCACAGGGTGTCTGTTGTGGGGAGGGGAAGGGAAAGGAGTTTGCAAGCCACTCTGATTTATTTATTTATTTGTTTGTTTGTTTGTTTGTTTCACTTTTACCCCGCCCTCCCCGCTAGGCAGGCTCAGGGCGGCTTCCAAGAACTGACAAGCAGTATACATTCATAATAGATTATAAAACATCAATTAAAACACAGCAATCAATATAAAACATTCATTAAACATTCATTAGATGGCGATAAAACTAAGGTGCAATTTAAGGACACATTCGGCAGTATTTATTTATTTTATTTATTTATTTTGGGATTTATATCCCGCCCTACCCGTGCGGCCCAGTACCACCGCATCTGAGACTCTCAGCCCAAAAATAAGTCTAGCTCGCCACTAAAAGAGCTAGAACTTAAGGATGCCAGACAATTTTAGGATCTCCTGGCTATAGTACACACAATGCCATACGATAATTATTGCAGCTGAGTAGGACAGCTCGGCCTCTGCCATTTGTAGCTACAGCCAGAGACTTGTGCTACAGCATACGTGTGTGTGTGTGTTAAGTGTCATCAAGTCTACCCTATAAGTTAATGTCCTCAAAACGCCCTATCATTAGCAGCCTTGCTCAGATCTTGCAAGCTACGGGCTATGGTTTCCCTTATTGAGTCAAGCCATCTCATGTTCAGTCTTCCTCTTTTCCTGCTGCCTTCCACTTTTCCTGGCATACACACTGCAATGATTCATCCAGCCCACTGTCCCAAAGTTATGTCCAACATATGGACATCAAGAGTCCAGTAGCACCTTGTGTGAGTCACAAAAGCTCCTCCCCTGCCACGTATTTCGTTAATCTTTAAGGTGCTACCGGACTCTTGCTCTTTTCTACTACTACAGACAGACTAACATGGCTACCCATCTTGATCTAGCTATATGGACATCAAGTGGATAAGCATGCCCAGTGGACAGTCACAAACTATTTGCACACACTGTACACATGAACCTGCCTTATTCTAAATCATATCCTTGGTCTATCAAGGTCCACCCAGCCTGCTCTGACCCGCAGTGGCTCTCCAGGGTCTCAGGTGGTGATTTTCCACATCAGGTCCTTTTTCGAACTGGAGATGCCAGGGATTGAACCCGGGGCTCTCTGCATGCAAAACAGGTGCTCTACCACTGAGACACAGCCCAGCCCCGTCTCATTGACTGTTCAGCTATGGAATTTGCTACGTGTTGACGGCAGAACTCTGGTGCACAGGCAAAGATTCCGGTGAAATCTTCTAGTGTATATAGCTGTTTCATGCAGAGACCTACTGAATCTCACTGCTGCTTAGCTGAAACAAAAATGTGTCCTAGACCATACCCAGAATTCCATAAGAACATAAGAGAAGCCGTGCTGGATCAGGCCAATGGCCCATCCAGTCCAACACTCTGTGTCACACAGTGGCCAAAACACAGGTGCCATCAGGAGGTCCACCAGCGGAGCCAGAACTCCAGAAGCCCTCCCACTGTGGCCTCCCAAGCACCAAGAATATGGAGCATCACTGCCCCAGACATTACCCCACACACAACAACAAAAATGCCATCCGCTACTACCAGAAAAGCTCATGCTCCACTACCAATTTTCTCATCAAGGGATCCGAATAAACTTCCATGAACTTCAAGGTTCTGCAGAACGTGGCTTGAATGACACACTATGCAAATTCACATGTGTGGCTTCATCTCTCGAACAGCCCCTCTCTTTCCCCCTGATGTCACAACTCTGCGACCACTTCACCACCCCTTGAAACACAACACACAACGCTACTCCCTGCGTTTTGCCCTACACAAGCTTTAATTCTCACATAGGGGAAAATAAGCTTGTGATGAGGCAGCTTTCAGATGCCTTATCTACGATGGCACTCACCTCTCTCGTGTGCCGCTTCAAGTGCATGAACACGCACTGTCCCGTCTTCCGGTAATGCCTTTCCACATGTTCCCTTCCAAATCCCAGGAAAGTCTTCATGCACACATAGAGACCTCCTTCAGAATACTGAAAAGAAAGAGAAAGTGCAGAAATAATAAAACACAAACCTGGCAGAGCGCAAGCCAACCCTGAAACAGAGCAACTCAGCCCTCCGTACAAGTTTGCAAAAGCCGGGGTAAATTCCGGGAGTGTGAATATATGCAGCATTTGTGCCCTTTCAACAAGTACAAACCGTAAGGGGCAAATCTGCAACATGAAGGCCTAGTTTGGTGTAGCGGTTAGGAGCGTAGACTCTAATCTGGGATAACTGGGTTTGATCCCCCACTCCTCCACATGCAGCTGCTGGTGTGACCTTGGGTCAGTCACAAGTTCTCTCAGAGCTGTTCTTTCAAGAGCAGTCCTCAAAAGAGCTCTCTCAGCCCCACCTACCTCACAGGGTGTCTGTTGTGGGGAGGGGAAGGGAAAGAAGATTGTAAAACGCTCTGAGATTCCTTTGGGTAGTGAAGGGTGAGGTATAAATCCAATCATCACCATCTCCTCCTACTCCTCCTCTTCTTCGTAATTTTTTAAAAAAAATAGACCAGGACTGCAGATCTGGGTTCAAATCCCCATTTGGCCACAAGGCTCGCTAAGTTACCTAGGCCCAGTCACTGTCTCTCAGCTTCACTGACCTCACAGAGTTGTTGCAAGGATAAAATGGGAAAGAGATAACTGCATATGTTGCCCTGAGCTCCTTCAAGGAACGGTAGGGGGAAAGTCTTCTAGGAAACACAGGTTGCTTCCACCTAGAAGTTTTACGGAGCATCCACACACCTGTGTGCAGAAATCATCCTCATTCCAGGCTTTCCTTGTCCTCAATATACTGTTTCCCAAACCTACTGTACTGTACTCTCCAAATATTTTTGAAGAACACAGTCCAAGCATGTCAGCATGTTATGCGAAAGGAATGGTACTTATTTTCTTGCGGCAAATGTTCTACCCACGTCAGCACCATCTGAGAAGGCCAGTGAAGTCCATGGCAAGCTCCTTCACCCTGAAAGAGACACCTTCAGTCCGTTCGGCAGGAGCTACAAGTAGGCCCCGCCCTCAATGATAACACCGACACTGTCTCCTTAATGAGGAGGAGGAGGAGATGAAGAATTAGTTTTATACCCTGCCCTTCACTTCCTGAAGGAGCCTCAGAGTGGTTTACAATTACCTTCCGTTCCCCTCCCCCCAACAGACACCCTGTGAAGTAGAGCGGAGAGACTTCTGAGAAAGCTGTGACTGACCCAAGGTCACCCAGCGGGCTTCATGTAGAGGAATGGGGAATCAAACCCAGTTCTCCAGATTAGAGTCTGCCACTCTTAACCACTACACCAAACTTGCTCCCTAAGAGCCACTTCTAAGTAACGAAAATTATGCTGAGATACTAAACCACAGACATGCAGAGATGTCAAGGCGGTTGGTGGAGAGTTCCAGATCTTTGACTCTCACTGTTCTCTCACAATTGTTTCAGGGAACTTCTAGAGGCCGCACAAACGGCTCTACAGCAGCCAAAATGCTACCACTAGCTCACAATCTACCCACTGGAGACTCCTGGACTAATACACTCACGTCAACGAAAGCAACAACAGACAAAATTGCAGTTTGGATCCACAGACAAAGGATGTAAGCAAGGGCCCTTACCCCCAAACCATTAATGAGTTCCAAAAATGAACGGAACTATACATTCACTTAAAATTTGGGTTTATCAAGCCATTGAAATATTAGAGCAAGACAATCCAAGGCCTTCCTAATGTTTCCGCAAAAATCCTCTCTGGGGCGATTACTTTTATGAAGATCAACACAACATGTTCAAAATATCTGCTGACCTATCTCCTGAGGCCGACCTGCCTCACGCCTTTCAAATGGCTAGAAACTCTAATGTCGTCCACTGAGTCATGCCCAAATGTTCATGCATAAGGTCATCCATTTAAAATGTCATCTCTTACGGATATCCAGATACTTGTCATGACACATAAAACACTCTACATATATTGCTGCTTCCATATATGTGTGTCTGTGTGCATACAGGTGATAGAATTCTTTTGGCATTTGACGGTACTATTCTACTATTAGCCAGCTGGGTGTAGTGGTTAAGTATGCGGACTCTAATCTGGGATAACTGGGTTTAATTCCTAGGGTTGCCAAGTAATTCTTCGCCGGGAGCGAGGGGCTCCCGGCCGGCGTTGGGTGAATGCGCATGCGCGAAGCGCAAGCGCGCCCCGCGTGCACGTCACCCGGAAGTGATGTAGGCATGCTGGGCACGCTGGGGGCGGGGCCACGACCATACAAGGGAAAACCATAGAGTTTTCCCTTGTATGGCCGTGGCCCCGCCCCCAGCGTGCCCGGCATGCCCACGTCACTTCCTAGTGATGCACATGCCGGGGGGCGGGGTTCCCCCCGGGGCCCAATTCCGCCGCGGCGGAAATCGGGCCTCCAAAGCGGGGGTTTCCCCGCCCCCCCGGGCCAATTTGGCAGCCCTATTAATTCCCCACTCCTCCACTTGAAGCTGCTGGATGACCTGAGGCAACCCATAGTTCTGTCAGAACTGTCCTTGCAAAAGAGCAGTTTCTGTCAAGAGCTCTCTCAGCCCCACCTACCTCACAGAGTGTCTGTTGTGGGGAGGGGAAGGGAAAGGAGTTTGTAAGCCGCTCTGAGACTCCTTTGGGTAGTGAAGGGCAGGGTATAAATCCAATCTCTTCTTCTTCTTCATTTGGTAGGCCACTTGTTGACAGTAATTCACACCAAAGTTAGGGTTGTTTATTTGAAAAACTAACAAATAAAAATAATTGGGGAGAGGGATACTTAACTCCCACTGAAATTGGCAGGACAGTCTTCCCAGCGAACACAGTTAGCACTAGACTCAGAGTGCACTTTTGTAAGAAGAGCCCTGCTAGACCAGATCAGTGGTCCATCTAGTCCAGCACCCTGTTTTACACAATGGCCAACCAGTTGCCCCGGAGAAACCACAAGCCAAAGAGACCAAAGCTCTCCCCTGATGCGGCCTACCAGAACCTGCATTCAGAGATGATACTGCCTCTAGATGTGGAGTCATCATGGATTTGTCCAACCGCCTCTCATAGGGAGCTGGTGCACCATAGTGGCAAAAAGAATGAAGTGGGAGGTCCCCGATTCAAAATTCACTTCTGCCCTACTTATTGGACTTAAGTTACTGTTTCTCCGCCTCAGGTCCCCATCTGCAACACAGACAGTATAATACCACCCCATCTTAAAGATCTGTTGCTAAGGATTTCAGTGATAACATATAGAAAATACTTTGAACACAGTGATACACAAATGTTAAGTATTCTAGTTATCATTAGCCAACAGCCCAATTAAGTAAAGGTAAAGGTTTCCCTTGCTCGAAAGCCAGTCGAATCCGACTCTAGGGTTGCGGTGCTCATCTCCGTTTCAAAGCCGAAGAGCCAGCGCTGTCCGAAGACATTTCCGTGGTCACGTGGCCGGCATGACTAAACACCACGGCGCACGGAACGCTGTTACCTTCCCACCAAAGTGGTACCTATTTATCTACTTGCAATTTCTTGCCTTGCAAATCCCTAAATTATTAAGACGCGCAATGCAAATTCAGAATACACAAAGTTACCAGCTCCGGGTTGGGAAAATAACTGGAGATTTGTGAGGCGCAGCCTGAAGGAGATTGGGGCTTGGAGAGGAAAGGGACTTCAATGGGGTATAATGCCATAGAATCCACCTTCCAAAGTGCCCATTTTCTCCAAGTGAACTGATCTCTGTCACCCGAAGATCAGTTGGAATCCCAGGAGATCTCCAGCCAACAACCAGAGGTTGGCAACCCAAAGAATACAGAAGTAGGGTTGCCAGACCCCTGGTCAAGGTGGGGGTTCTCCCAATTTTGGGGGCTCCAATTTGCCACCGGCCAGCTGGCCAGCAGGGGAACCCTGAACAGCCCCTACTGCATCAATGACCTCAGCACGATGACATCACACGGAAGTGACATCATCACACTGGGCACATCACGTGGCAACGCGCTAGCATTTTGGCCAAAACTCTATGGTGAGCTTAGAGTTTTGACCAAAATGCTAGAGAGTCGCAACATGACATGCCCAGTGTGATAACGTCACTTCCACGTGACATCCTTGCACCAACAACGTCATGCGCAGCGACATCACCCTGCCATCCCCACTCCCGGAAGGCTCCCTCCCAGCCCCCACCAGCCAGATAAGTAGACCTGGCAACCCTATACAGAAGGGAAACCTTTCTGGCTGCTCTGGAATCTTCTGCAGATTGCCACACCCAGGCAAGTGCCTCTTAACCAAGCCACAGGAAGTCCACTGCCTTGGATTCCAAATCAACAGAAAGAAAACAGAAACTGTTGGAAGAAAATCCTAAGAGTTAGGATGGAGCAAAATGGCTGTCAAATCCAATATACCTGCCACAAGGGAGACTCGTCCCTTGTGGTGCACCATGGCGAGCACGTCATTCCACACAATTAAGACCACGGAGCCATACAAGCAAAAACCAGACATTCCAAAGGGAGATGCCTGTTAGAACAAATAATTGCGAATTATTCAAGGCCAAGCAGGCACGTCCAGCATGTTAACCAAGGAATCCGGGCAGCATAGCAGTAAAATTTAAAGACCAACGTAGCGATATTCTTACATACCATGAAGCGGGCCTTATAGAAAAATATACAAATCTTAATTTCCCCCCCCCCCCAGAAAGCTTTCTGGAAAACGATCGAATGCCCTAAATTGAGCCTATTTACCATGTTTGTTTTGACTTCTATTTCGCAAAAAATAAAATAAAGTACACCATGTTAATTTTATATATCAGTAGCAACAAACAAACAAAAGGAGCTGCGGTGGCTCAAGTGGTTAAGACGCTGAACTGCAGGCTGTGGAAGGTCAGTAGTTCAGCAGTTCAAGACCCGAGTGCCGCAAGACGGGGTGAGCTCCCGTCTCTAGTTCCAGCTCCTACCAACCTAGCAGTTCGAAAGCAAGAAATTGCAAGTAGATAAATAGGTACCACTTCGGTGGGAAGGTAACAGCATTCCGTGCGCCTTG